TCAGTAAGCTCCTTACTGAGTGATTCAATGACTGAGGCTAAGAGACGGAATAGGACAGTGATAGATTAAGCTTACATTAGAAAAAGAGAGTGTGACCGAGCAGGGATCTGACGGCAGGTTGTACATCCCTGCAGAGATTATACATAACAGATTTTGACATATTGGCATTGTTGTCATCATTGTCTCATGTTAAGCAAATTTAGCAGGTGCAGAAAGTCATCCAGCCCAAGTTATGTCTCAGGTTTGCATACAAACACATTAACCAATCTTATGCCAACAAGTTGTCTCTCCTTATCAGTCTTTAGTTTAGCTTATAATTAACTTGCTGCCAAGTGCTTTGCTCATGGGATTTATTTTGGGTCTCTGTGTAACAAAGAGTACAATCTAGAACTTCTCTTTTTGTAAACATTCTTGATATAGCCTTTCCTACAAATTGGTGCAATAAAAAACAGATTGATTGATTGTCTTATTGATTGATTTATTGTTCACTGGTTGATTGATACAGAACCATTGTGATGTGAATTTATGATTTGTTATACAAGATAAAAAATATTTCACTTCCAAATTCTAAATTCTTAACATTTCTATTTTTTGTTTGTTTACTTTTCAAGATTATTTTTGGGTATTTTTCCCTTCCTGTCAAGCTGGGGAGATGACATGCACCAAATAGAGCCAGGATCGAGAGTCGAACTTGCAAAAACAGTATAATACATGGAGCCGCTGTACAATTGGGCTCCTGCTATATATGAACTGAGCTACCCAGCATCCTTCTTATTGTTTTATGATCATTTTATGACTCCTACGCTACCGGCAAAGCAGCAGGAGCAACTTGGGGTTAAGTGTCTTGCCGGAGGGCACATCAGACATGTGGCTGTAGGAGCTGTGGGATCGAACCACCAACCTACCACAGAACCACAACCACCCCCCATAGTGAGTTTTAGAATTATTGTCCAATGTGCTCTGTATATTCTTAAAATGTACCAATGGTAAGGCAACATTTATTATCATAAACAACATTGATGTTGGGGAAAAAACTGCCAATTTGTAATTTGCAATAATGCAATATGTATTTGCTCAAAGTTACATTGTGATATACAGCATGTCCTTTACACAGCTTTGACTGTAAAGGGTCATGCCAGTGGCATTCACACTAGAGGCTGAACATATTTTGTGTGGATGAAGGTGTGTCTGGCACGCTTGAGAGGTAGAGAGAACTAATGGTTTGTTCAGCAGAGTGAGCTGCAGACTTTTCACTCGTCAGCTTTGCTTTTGTATGTAGTTACATCACCCTCCACCCTTCCAACCCTCCTGAATCCAACACCATGTATTCCTGCCATCCACCCTTCTCCATCTATCACACTGATATTTGGGCAGTCTGCAAAAGGTTACCACGCGAGGCCTCTTAACACCTGGTTGGAGGGATAGTTTTGCTCACCCCACCTGGTACTGATGTAGCATAATACAGCGGCCCAACACTTAACACTGATCCCACTAAGACCCCAGTCTGTCATCTTTACTGATTGAGTGGAGAGTACTGGCATTGTAACTCAGGCCAGGTCTCATATCTATCGCCTGAGGCTTGTTTTCATCTTATCTCCTATTAATCATGGGCCTCTTTCCCAGCTATGCCCTCCACTGCTGATGACAGCATATATTCAGAGTGATGCTGTTGCAGATTGTCAAATTACACGCAACATGACAAGGGGAGCTGCAAGAGATATGGATAACAACCCTATGATGGGTCTTATTGTGGAGTGTTTGATGCCAATAGGGGTTTTGTTCAGTCCTCAACCACTCTTTGAATTGAATCTTTTGCGCGTATACGTTTGGATTTCGTGGATTCCACCTTTGAACCCAAAGCATTCTGCCAGGTCAAATAATCCAACACACAACTGCTCTCCATTGCTCAATGGTCTTTAAAGCTTTCAGCCATGAAATATTCTCGCTCCTGGTCGGGGCCCTCAGTCTTGAGGCTGGTGATGACACACATGCTCAGCAGACAAGGTGCCCGAACCACCCAGGCTTTAGGTGTCCTGACCTTGGAGATTAGGTGTGAAAAATAACAACTCAAAGGGATAAAGTACACCTCCTTTACTGCACAAGGGGTCAAAGTGTTGCCTTAAATTGGGAGAAAATGAACACGTCTTATGAGCCCTCCATGGGCAATGCAATGTTTATGAAAGGTAAAAAGACAAATCAAATGGATGGCTTTGGTGGGATTTAAGTGTTTATTTTGAATTCTGCTGTATGTGGCCGTGTTTAATCCATGTGGGAGTTGAATCTCTGAAGATGTAGAACACAATTTTACTTTTCTCCATTGATCTGAAGCCCACTGTGTAAATCGTATCATTCTGCCCAGTCTCATATCAAAGAAAAACAAAATAGCAGCAATGCCATCTCTGTGTTCGTGACATTCTAGCGAAAATGCTGAAAGATTTACAGCACTTTCTTTCGTTTTTCAGCTATTTGAGGTATCTGCTAAACAGATTGTTGCATTGATTTCTGGGAAGACAGATGGTGATGTGCCTGCTTCAAGACAACTGAAGGAATGAAGAATTGTTAAGCTCCGTAGATCAAATTCAGTATAGTGATGACCTAAAGCTATATTTTTATTGCGCTTAGCTGCATACAGTCTCACTCGCATACTTTCAGTAGCTTTGTTTTCTTTTTGGCCCTAGTTGAAAGTATCTAAAATAGCATGAAATGCTTGAAAATGTGACAAAAATACCATATTTGTCAGCCAAAGGAGTCAGACAAACCTTGTGGATCTGTCTGCCTTGTTAGTACGTCTTTACATAGTTATAACTGTATACAGCATACTCTTTTGTCCTATTCTCTTTTTCCAAAACAGATATATAAACCATCACACACCTAGACTAAAGACATATCCATCTCTAGTTCTGCTGCTATAGGCTAAGTAGCGATACATTGAGCAACAGTTTCCCCCTTTCACCCTCCATCTGTAAATGCATTCATGTACCTCTAATGAGTTATACCAACATGTCAATCAGATTTCTGTGGATCATTGTTGCAGATTGGTTTATCTGTATACTGCTGCGCTAGCCAGACAATACATACTTTTGAGGACATTTAGTGTGCTGACTTTTCTGTTTTCTTCATTGTTGCAAACTGCTTTCTGTGGTAGATCTGTCTGAACTAACTGCTACAATTAATATTGTAACATGTGAGCCCCCTTCTCTGTCTGTTTTTCTCAAACCATCTCGCTCTTTCTGCCCTCTCCTTTATCCTCCTTTTTTGGCCTATCACGTTGGGGCAGATGGCTGATGACCAATGAATCTGGATTTGCTTGAGTTTTCTGCCAGATAAAAGTTTTGCTCTTTTTGTCACTGTATCAATTTCAACTGTATTGGTGCATTTATGTCATGAGCCTGGGATGAGGCAGTTTTTTCTTACCAATGTAACTTTTGCTGCTTTGCTAAAGTGCTCATGATGGATAAAGCCATGTCTTTGTAATATAGCAATAAGTATAGTCTTTTTACCTGCTCTTTTATGTTATTAAAAAACAAAGAGTGATCGCTTTTACCTGCTTTTTGTAAAGTGTCTTGAGATAACACTTGTTATGAGTTGATGCTATACAAATAAAAATTGATTGATTGATTGATTTATGTCAGGTCTCTGTAAACAGTATTACAAACAATATAGTCATATGTAAAATAAGGTAACGTTTGTTTTGATTTGGGGCTTTTTAAATAAGAATGTATTCACTGAATGTAATTAACCAACTAATCAAATGCATTCGGTGTGTTCTGGGCAAAAAAGGGAATTATGGAATATGCATGGAGACAGCCATGAATCAGTTTCAAATACTCATCTCCTTCTTTGCCAGAGGAGAACCAACCAAACTCATCATTTTAAAGTCTACAGTGGCCCACATGGAAAGAGACACAATGGTACGTATGGCACACTACACAAAACCTTTTATTCTGCAAGAACTGCTATTCCACAGTGACATGTCAAACAGAGACAGTGACAATATTTTAAATGTAATCCTCTGCATAAAAATTTTGAGAAACAACATCAAACTCATTTGCAAATTGTGTTATGGTAATTGTCCAGTCGTGTAACACATACACTTTTATTGCAAAATTCTTATTTTAACTTTTTGGAACATGCATAATGTGCTTGGTGCCGCAGCAAACTAAAGTGTCTACTTCGTTGAGAGGGTCCAGTGAGTTGTTGACCACGCGGGAACCTTATGTTTCTATTCCTTCCCATGACAGAAAGTGTTTGAGGTGTGTGCTCCAATGACCTGAGGGTCGCATGCCACACAAAGAGGCTATGCAGTTATGCTGACCATGTAGATGTTTAAATCAAAACATGGGCAATCAGACATGGATGGAGGGAGGGAAAAGCGAGAGAGATGATATGGGGGAAGGAGAGCTGGTTCTTGAGTCATGGTCAGATGGGAGAGAGCTGGTTGGTGGGTGTGTGAGCAAAGATTTCAGAAATGTACAAGAGACACGTATGTTATCTTTTCTCCATGCCACTTGCCATCAAGAACCTCCCCCTTGCGCTGTGTCGTCAGCAGTTTATCTCAGGCCCTGGCAGGCGCTGCAAGGGTAAACGGGAGGAAATCTGAGCCATATGGCGGCACTATAAAGCTCACTGCTGATTTGCAGACTTCATCAAAACCTGGTCAAGGCTTCATCCCTACTCATGACTGGCATCCTCCTCTCACACCTGGTCACTGCGCTCTGACTTCTCAACTTCTCCCCAGTAGCACTAGTTGTCTGACTGACCCCAGGGTTCATCATCAACAATCTTCATAGTTTATTCTTCTGATTAAGGTAAGTGTATGTCCAGAGGTTAAAGTCATGGTTTCAATTAAGACAAAATATGGACAATTACAATTGAAAATTAGGAGAAGATTAAAAAAGATTCTTGTCCTAGTGTCATGGATTGTTCATGTATTACATATGCATGTATGAAGTCTGAGTGAGTAATAATGCTTTGTCTTCTTTTGCTTCTGTTTCTCAGAAATGAAGTTACTGGGCCAGGTTGTTGTCTTGCTTTTGCTCGGGGGAATCTGGTGTCAGAACAACCGTAATGCTAAAGCAGGTGGCAAGTCTGCAAAGAAGTCTGGTGGGAACCAGGGAGGCGAGTCTGTCCAGTCATCCCCTGCTGTTGATTTGACTCCTGGAAGCACTGAAAATACTAGAAGCACTGGAGGCTCAGCGGAAGCAGGACGGGAAGGCGCTGCAGGAGCTCGAGCAGCTGGACAACAGACGGATGATATGAGGCTGCACTTCCTTCAGAACACCCAGGTTACATGCAATGATGGAACTGTTGCTGGGTGAGATTTCTTGGATATCATATTTATCTCACTGATTTTTCTGTAAACGCTTAGCAAGACATAAATTATGAATTTTTACTGTATCTGATTTTTATCTTATTAATACACTTATGCAGTGTGTCCCTACATGGGTGTTTTTCTTCACCATCTTCTCATCCCTGTGTATTTGTGGTTCTACAGGTTTTACCTAAAGGAGTTCAGAGGAAGCCGCCGATGGCTGTTATTTCTGGAAGGTGAATATTTAAAAAGTCAACTGGTTAATTTAGTCCCCAAAGGTCAGCTTGTTTTGGCATGATGCCCCCTTTGGAATTTTGATGGGGATGTCATCTTGTACCGTCATCTTCTGTTTTTCTCCTTTTTGGGTGCTGCATGTTACACTGAAAGATTTGAGAAACTTATGTGAATTGTCCTCCAGATTGACTTATTTATTTATTCTGAGAGCATAGAAGAGGTGGGCATAACCAGAACAAACATATTCTACCTGGTTAAAATAACTTTCTCCAACCAGAAATTTGATTAATTAACACATTATTCTGAATTGCAACATTTAAATTTTGCTTTCCCCCAAGAATTGACATACAACTTTTTTTTTTAATTCAAAGGCGAAACCATTTTTCTGAAATTGATAGTCAATCAACAAATCAGGTACAAATAAATACCATTCATATTTTTTGACATGGTCTAATTCTAAAGTCCAGGTTACAGGTGCAGTCCTTTCCCTCTCCATTCCTCACAGTCCTCCATGATGAGCAAACAAGGGTCTCCCCCGCTGTGCCTGATGTGAAAATCTAATATTAGTCTCCATTATTTTTAGGTGGTTGGTGCTGTTACAGCAAAGAGACCTGCGATTCCAGATACCAAAACATACCCCGACTAATGAGCTCATCCAGTTGGCCCCAAACAAAAAGAGGTAGGTCAGATAGCCATGCTTTCCAATGACAGCCCTATGTTAGCTCTCACAGTGTTATTTGTTTTACATAAACTTGACACAGACGGACATCTGTCTGATTTATGACTGCTGGATTTACAGGAACTGGAATTTTGTCCTCTCAAGCAGAGGAAAACCCACACTGGCATAATGCAAATATTGTGTAAGTACTTCTTTATCCTGTTTGTCTTATTGTGGCAAAGAGATGACAAATGCAGAAAGTCCATATTTACATGGACATCTCTGTATCCTGTTGACTTAGAGTGAATTAGGAACACAAATCATTAGAAGTTACATTATGGCAGATATATAAAACAGCAGTAAATACGTTTTGTTTGTGACTACCGATATATTGGCAGATAACTTTATTAGAGCTATTTTCAATCTGTAGAGATAGATAGATAGATAGAACTGCTGGCTGTGTCTGAAGAGGTTGGTGGGAGTGAACACAAACATTCAGGTTGCAGGCTGTAAACCGAAAATATTAACCCTCCCTTGAGTACTATCTGAAATGATTCTCCAAGATTATTGGTCTGAAATGAATTCTTTCACTGATGCCTCCCTTGGTCTTGTATGATCAATAGCTTATAGAACATAGGTCTGCTATTTTCTAATTCACAACAGAAGAAGTCAACTCCAGCCTGAGTTAGTTGAACCAGTTTGATTGTTTCCTTTTCTGCAGATTCATCCCATACTGTTCCAGCGATGTATGGAGTGGCACTGGGCCTGCCCCAACTCCTCCTCCCAGGCCGCGACAGGGCAGAGAAAAAGAGAGAGAGAGAAATATCAATGCTAGTACGTTTCTTCAGGTGTTTTAGGATTTACAATGTTTGTTTTTTTAACTTTTGTTTTTTTCAGGAAATGTGCTTAATCTATCGTTCTGTTTGTCTGATGCTTCCCATCATGGGATGTGTTTATTTTTGTTTTCAGCTGAGTATACCTTTATGGGATCCCTGATCATCCAGGAGGTCATCAAAGACCTCATTCCAAAAGGAATCAAGCAGGCTAAGGTCATCATGCTCACTGGCACAAGGTGAGTTTTATCACAGCTATTTTAGTGTTTGCACTCAGTCGCTGACTTTTTGTGGACAAGAGCCTTTGTACCCTTTTCTCTGGACCAACCAAAGATTACACGAGAGAGCCAATGTTGTATCCTGTTTTCAACAATGAAAACATTTACAGTCATCTGTTAAAAATTACATGATATATTTTAAAGGGTCTTGCCTTGTAATGGTAAACATTCCTTCCAAGATAGGAACTTGGTTATTGACGTCCCCTAACTGCAAAGCAGCACAGTTCTGTTTTCTTTCCAGCCATTAGAAGGCATGCACTGTTATTTTGATACCTCTTATTAGAATAGCAGTTTCAAAGCTAAACTTTTTATTGAGTTTCTTGGCTGTCTTTGCAGCGCTGGCGGAACAGGTGTTTTGCTGAACATTGACAAGCTGGCCAGTCAGATGGCACAGCTTGGTGCAGAGACTCAGGTCCGAGGCCTTGTGGACTCTGGGTGGTTTCTCGAAAGTCAACAGCAGAGATCTCCCAATTGCCCTGAGACTGTTTCATGCTCGCCTGAAGATGCTATCAAGATAGGACTCAGGTAAACATGTACAGCTCTTCATTACAGATTGTATGAAAACAAACCTTTGCAAAAGCCGGATTTAGACTTTTGTTTTAGATTCGGCAAGTTGAAGCGTCTGATCCATATATCTGTGTGTACTGACAGTGAGTTGTTCTTTCAGGCTGTGGAACGGGGTCGTTCCTGATAGATGTCGCCAGCTTTATAAGAGAGGGGAGGAGTGGCAGTGCTTCTTTGGTCACAAACTGTACTCTACCTTGACCTGTGAGTACTAGCTGGTGTCTTATTAATCCTGAGCAATCATTAGCACTGGAGTGTGTCTTTTGCTGCTTGATACAAAACAGAAACTCAAGTTTATAATGTTCCATAAATATTTCTGATTAGTTATTGTCCTCATGGGCACAAAATGTACAGGTGGTGAATTTCTTTATCGCATTGATTTTGTGAACTATAAGTGTTATCCACAGTTAGACACGAAGCTGACCTGATTGACAGGTCATGATGTAAAGTTTTGTCAGACAAATTGTTCTCATTTAACTTCTCCTTGATTAATACGCAACATGACAAGGGATACTGAATCTGGAGAGACATTGGGCCATATTTCAAGTTCAAAACATATTTGATAGCCAATCAGCTTCCACCAGAACAATACAAATGTTATCATTTAGCAATTTCCTTGGTTATACTTGCGTTTGGGAGACATGTATGTGATTGAAACTTTGCATATTTTTTCTAAATATGGTCCCTCATCTTGAACAAATGTATTTTACAATGAAATAGATTTTACAGTTCAATTTTAATTCATGTCAACTAGTCAAAAATAGGACGTTTTCAGTATGGTATGATGGTCTACCCCCCGCAGCCCCACTGTTGTTGTGCAGTGGCTTTTTGATGAGGAGCAGCTGAGAGTGGAAAACATCTACATGGGAGGACAGAGTCTGTCCGAGGAGCAGTGGCAGTACATACGGAACCTGGGCAGGTTGCTCAAGAACTCACTGAGAGATGTCACGTAAGTGTCTAAAGTCATGTTTCGAGATTAGCTTCTAATCCTACAATCATAGAAATACATATAATATAGACCACCAAGTGATGTAAAAGATGGACCCTGACTGTATTCCTTTGTGTTTATAGGGCTGTTTTTGCTCCTTCCTGCCTCTCCCACACACTGATTACGAAAAGGTAACAAATTACTCCTTTTGATTTTTTTTCGTTCGTTCTTACATAAAGTAATCTGTAGCTTGTGAGCTCATGCTGCTGTTTTATCCACCTGTCATCAGCAGCATTCTTCATGTCACCAGATGCTACTTCACTAACCCCCCCGTACGTCAATGTTCACAGATTGAACATTAAAGTGTCACTGCAGCCTTAGCTAGGTTTACAGTCCAGCAATTCAATTTGGGTGGAGATTTTTTTATGAAAGGAGCCACGATCATTTGAGTCAATATTGGGGAAGTAATTCTGTAAAGTTTCACTTGATTCACCACAATAGTTTGGCAAAAGTGTCATGACTTGACATGACCACAGACTGTACAAATTATGGACAAAGCCATAGTGACATCACCATTCTAAAAAGTCGTTTTTTAGAGCCAACCTGAAGTAGACAATTGTGAGAAATTCTGATTTTGGATACATTTGTGAGCCTCAAAAGTTGCCCTTTACAATTAATAACCCTCTATTTTTGACTTTTTCAAAAACTTTAATTAATGTCTTTTCATTTTTTCCAGTAACTGGAGAAGTTTCCAAGTTAGAGGCAACTCTCTGCCCCGTGCTCTGCATTGCTGGGACAGGAGTTTGGAGGCAACACGCAACAACAGAACCCCTGCTAAAGGTTGTCCTTTCCACCTGTTGGACACCTGCCAGTGGCCCCAGTGCAACCCCACCTGCCCTGCATTGGTGGACCAGGCCACACAGCAGGAGCTCACCCTGCTCCAGATGCTAGCAGCCATGGGTCTTGACCTCCAGAAGTTAGGCCTGGATACCCAAGGGGATGAACATTCTTTGGCTAGCATGGTCAGCAATGGCGGCTAAGTGGTAACATGGGTTGCTTCTGAAGAGATATCAAGCAGAGGATTAATGGTGGGAAAAAGTGTTGAAATTGTAATATAACTACAGAAATAGTACAGAAATCTGGTAACTATGTCTCATGCTGCTCAGCATTCCATCATGCTTTGTGTATGTTAAACTGGTGACTTGACTGATGGGTATGTCATTGTGTCTGAGTCTTAGTGGTTTAGCTGTCCCTCTAGTGGCCAGCAGAGGAAAGTGCTAATTGTACTGGATGGAACGCTTTGAGCAGACATACTGTACCTCTTGTGAGAAACTTTTATCCTGATAACTCTATCTGAAACCAAACTTTGGACTAGTAGAGTTGTATACCTACTGTGTAACATTTGCACTTCATATACTGTAGTTGTTAGCGTTGACATTTACTTTTACTCAAGGTTTATTTTCTCCCTATCTGAATACATTTAACAAAAGACAGGTTATTCATAATGAACCAGTATTCATATCCTGAGTTGTATGTTAAAAGAAAATACAACTAAGAACATTCAAAAATGGTACTCACACTTTGTCACCGGTTGTTTTGCACACACAGTTCCAAAGACACTGATTGTGATTTTTTGCGATTGTTTTTTTGTTTCTAGCTCCTGATGCTATGCTAACTTATACATAGCCTACATATAATACATAATGTATAGAAATTATTTTTTGTGCATGTAATCGAAGTTTGAGTCGATAATGATATTTGTTGATGTAGTAAGGCAGGTTTTTGCCTATTTGAAATATGAAGTCTGTAATAAAAAAAACTCAAAGAAAAACACAACCTTGTGATTATTTGCAACTCAGCATTTGCATGGATAATATCTATCAATTGAAATACACAGACTATGACCTGCAATCCTTTATTGTGTTTCTCACATTTAAATATCTTTCACAACATCAACATTTTGCAAGTAATTTACAGATAATACTGTGTTTTTATTCATTTGAGTACTTTTATTACGATATCAACAGAAGAGGATTTGACCAGAAATGTATCTGCTGTTAATAACAGACTAATTTCATCTGGCACTACTACCACCCTACGTCGCTGACGCCCAGCCATCACCATTGGACTGTGTCGACCCCACAACCACTGTCGTCCTTATTCATGCACGGCCTGCTCTGACCTCCACCTCAGTGCAAAGGAAGTGTGGACATCAGGAACACGAGCAATACAAAGGAGAAATCCTTACTGCATATTATCCCATCTCCCCCTTTCCCATGTTGTTTAGAGTATGGTCTTTAACCTACTCTTTTGTAAAATGTCTGGAGATAACACTTGTTATGAATTGGCGCTATACAAGTAATGATTGATTGATTGATTGATTGATTGATTGATTTTAGGGCACTCATAACTACCAGTCTGAAGAGCATCTACATATGGTGTTACACTCATTCAATGTAGATCAAAGAGCAGTTACATTTATTATTATAAATATAAAACAATTTTGATCTTAAATAACCTTATTTATTTAATTTGATTACATTTTAATCCCAGTTTAATATACATTTAATTTAAAATGTATGTGCAGTGAATATGCCTGGTTAGCACAACTACATTTTTAAAAACAGCTTGGACAAATACTGCGGGGGGTTTCACTCCCCTGGATCCTGCGTGCAAATCTGAGAACAGCAGAAATGAGGAGACGTATTACTGACCTAAACCTCAGATGTTGCAGTCCACTTCTGGTTTCTTCTCCACTGAGACAATCCAATTATCATAGAACAATGTTGTATGTTATATGAATATATCTATGAAATATATATTTTTATAACAAATCATCTTTGCAACTCATCTTGTCAACCGTCGTCTCATCCCCAAATCACATGGTATCATATTCTTTACTTCATGCACTGTATATGTGTGTGTGAATTAAAGAAGACAAACAGCTTTACTGTTTTTCTGGCATAAAACAATTGCATCATGCAAGGTTTACCACTTACAAATACTGATTGCTGTCTGTATGGCTATAAATACATTGTTCGTGAAAAGAACTGAGACTGATATATCACTGTAAAATACTTTATGCATAGTTTAAGTGCTAAAAATGTTCTGTCCTTTTATTTCAAGCAAATCCACCAAACACACACATTGCAATGTTCATTAGAATGGATTATAGGAATGAATAGATATTAATGCAGTTATTCATCCGCAACGCTAGGGTGCGCTGCTTTAAACTTCACTGATATGTCTTAAAGCGCCAGGCTGTATTTTAGTGATATCTGGCCATTGCACTTGTATGTAGTATAATTTTATGACTTTGTACAGAGGGACTTTATATTTTCTAGATGAGTAAAGATTTGGCTGAGTGGTAAACAAAAATGGAATGTCAAAAAAGAAATGTTTGGTGTCCGTAATTCTTAAAAAAAAAAAATATAATAATAGTTGCCAAAATAAAATTTCAATGTTTTTATATTTAACAACTCAAATGTGCTCATTATTTAATCGATATTTTTCAATCAAAGCTGTTTTCTGACCCTTATCTTTTTGTGACCATGTTCTTGCTTGTATTTATAGTGACAGTGGTAGTATAATAAAAACAAATATATATTAAATTGCCTTTTTATAAATTAATCTTTAAGCCTGCTCGTCAAGCTCAATTTACAATTAAAGGATTTAACAGTCTTCACCTCACTCAAAATATGAGAAACGTACCCTGTGAGATTAAATAAAATTCACTGAAACATACAAACATTTTCTAATATAATTAAATACAACACCAAACTAGTTTTTTATGTACTAATACTATGAATATCGTTTTATAGCCTGTAAGAAGTACGAAGGCACAATGTGTAATGTGTTTCGTGATGGTGTAGGTCATCTCTATTTGAAACAGTCTTTGATTTTCTCCCATAATGCACTCGCAGAATTTTCTACTTCCTCTTTCCGCCATATTGCAGAACCGGTAAGGTGCCTTTTTTACACTGTTGACTTCAATCTTTAAAGTATCTCAAGCATCTGCAGTTTAAATGTTCCATTTTTGTGATCATCTCTAAGCGAAGGTACATAGTAATGGTTTGGGCTCAATATCGTGTTGATAAATGAAACGAGGAAAGAACATTTGAGCTTCACGTTTCGTGTTGCAGCTCGTCTGTCCGGCCCTGGACAGCGGCGCTTTTCTCTCCGACTGACGGCGCTTATTGTCGCTTTAAATTAACTATGACTGCACGTTTAGGTTTATTTTCCGCATTTTAGTTATTTAGCATCCAGTGGACTCTGCGTTTGTCATTTGTGCTGTTATTGTAAAGCGACACTTTGGTAGTGTAGTCGGCTAGGCTAACTAGCTCTCCGTGAGCTGGTAAAGGACCATGCTTCAGTCAGAGTCCAGCTCATAGTCGTCTTTACTAAAATACAAATAATACACTCACTGCTGTGAGGAAAACTGGACCCAACATTCAAAGAAATCGCTGAGACAAACCCAATATAGTCACGAATATATAATAGCATGAGATGCTAAGGGTTAGCATGGTAATAGCTCATTACTGTATGTTACCACTTTATCGCTCCTGTCAGATGTAAGACTTAACTCTTGTGTTGTAGCATGAGCTTTTATAAAGTAAAAGTCTATGTAAAGAAAGGGACAGGGTAATTGACCTTACACCTTGTAGAGCATTTAAAGTAGAAAGTAATTCACCTACTGCTTTGTGAACATTATAAGACAGAGAGGGTTTGAATTAGAGGCAGAGCTTTGAGTCCTGAAACTGAAGCATGTGTGAATAATGATAACAGTGTGTGTGAATACTGATAACACTGTAATAACTTGTCTTTGTGTCTCCAGGCATCATGGTGCGCATGAACGTTCTCGCAGATGCTCTGAAAAGCATCAACAATGCTGAGAAGCGTGGGAAACGCCAGGTCCTCATCAGGCCCTGCTCCAAGGTTATTGTGCGCTTCCTGACCGTCATGATGAAGCACGGTGAGTGGCTGCATATTACTTTATTAAAGAAACCTTTAAAAGTGTATAATATCACACATGGTGATGTAATCGTTTAGTGCTGTGATCTTGTCGTGAAGTATTTAAAGTTGGAGAGTTGCTTGTTGGTAGAGGTTTGGTCACAGTAGTATCTTGTTGTTTAAGAGTGTTAATGGCTGCTGAACTTCATTAAATTGTTGTCATTGGTTACAGGTTACATTGGTGAGTTTGAGATCATTGACGACCACAGAGCTGGAAAAATTGTCGTCAATCTCACAGGCAGGCTGAACAAGGTAAAATCCTATTATTATCATAAACTGAATATTTGAACTTGCTGTATTGACATTGAGGTGGGCATGAATCACATTAGAAATGTAGATTCCCCCCCCCATAGGCCTACCAAGACCTGCATGTCAAAACACTGCAAACCTTTTCACACATTGAATGCTTTCTGGGGAACCTCCATAACTCTTTTTAACTTGGAAATAGTGGAGGGCCCTTAGCTGGTAATACAGCCATGTAATACATTGTCATTCAATTCTTGTGCAAAATGCCACTAGTTTTTTTTTTTTCTATCAAGGGTGAAGTGGAGCTTAAATGGACGTTTTGTTGTACAATATGTAACCTTGAGTCTTTGCTCCTGGCTTTAAATGTTAATAGTGTTTTGTTTTCTCTTCCAGTGTGGTGTGATTAGTCCACGTTTTGATCTCCAGCTCAAGGACCTGGAGAAGTGGCAGAACAACCTGCTGCCTTCAAGACAGTTTGGGTAAGAGTTACATCCAAACTTGAGAAAACATCATTGATCAACTGGGAGAATTTTTCTTGCTTAACTCGCCAAGAAGAATGATGTTGCTTTGTAAAATGTGGTGTTGATGTTGAATTCTGACAAGAAAATTCAGGCCAAAAAATGGTCACCTAATATTAAGTGACTGTTTGACTAAACATTGAGAGAACAAAGAATTCAGAAAGGATGGAATTAGAAGAGACTCTCTCCTTGTGTGCCGTCAGGATTAGGTTCACACAGATTCTGCTGAGAGACCTAAGCCCTTTTCAGAATGCCTGTTCAAAGTTTGATATTTAGGCCTCTGACATCTTTGCCTCAATCTGAAAGTCACAGGCATAATGGGGAGAGAAGTGATCGCACCTCTACTGCCATCAGTAACAGAGGCGTTACAGGGGTTAGAGGGGACCGGTGGAACCAGCAGAGAGAAATGCTGTGTGTGTAGCTTTTGCTGTTTATCTACACATCACGCTTCTACAAGGCCGTAATGGGAATTCAGACTGAGACACCCTTACTACGCTGTTGCAGAATCAATAGGAATGTACAAAGACAAAATGATGAGGAGCTTTGTTACAGTGCTGTTGTAGATAGGACTCTTAAAGGGGGCTACAAAGAAACGCCCTGTAGTCCCTCCTGTAAATACATGCATTTGGCTGAAAGCTTTCCTTTAAGTGCAGGCAGTGATACCTGTTCAGTAGATCCAGCACACAAGATAATATAGAAACAGACATTTTATATTTAGCCACTTTTAATCAGTGACTGGTGTGCAA